TGACCGGAACCGGATCCGAAGAAATTAATATTAAAGGTTACCTCCCTTATCCAGTAATAATAACTAGATCTAGACCCCTATTATTTAATTTAATTAGGCCTAATTATCTCAGTAAAAGTTTCTAAAAAATTGGGATCACTAGTGCAAAAAGTGCACGGGCGAAAATTTAAGCCTTCCACTTTTTTTGCCAGCACGCACGCAACCATGACCTATTTCTGATGTCTAGACATTTGAATATTTATACGCACGCCAAAAAATAAATACAACTCCTTATCCGCCTTTATGGTTAGGATTCGGGTCTAAGTAAATGTTAGGGTCAGGATCAGGGTTAGTGTTAGAGTAAGCTCACGGTCTACTAAGCTTTGTTTTAAAAAAAATCGCAATTTTAGGATTTGAGGGGGGCTTTAAATGATCGGATCTTTTTAAAAAAGATTTTTTACTCCTCCAACCCAAATAGCAAAAGCCCCCCCCCCCCCCCCCCCAGAAGTTTATTTATTTTCTATAGAATTGTCTGCACTAGAGCAGTGGCAAAGGGGGGGGGGGGATCAATAATTCAAAAATAAGGAACTGACAAATATCTTACAGCGAAACGACGCCTTCATTAATTTAAGAAAGCTCCTAACACCTGGAGTAGAAGTGTTCTAGCTCACATCTGAATAGTGTGATCAATGGGCATTCTAGATTTTCATACATTCTTATTTCTGTAAATTTTCATTAAATTAGCCTGTTAGATGCTATTTTGATAAAAGAAAGAATGGTTTTATATCTATTATGTTAAAAAATATAATCTATACGGTAAAATAAATAAAACACAATTTTTATGGTCAAAGGGAAGCAAACATGAAATTATTTTCCATCGCAGTAAAGCCAAGGTTATCTCGCTTTTTTTGTAGAGAATCATGTATTAATATTACCATTATTACCATTTTTAACACGTTTTTAACACGTTTTTAACACGTTTTTATTAACTCAGCTTCGCGTGTGTTTGTTGTTAAAATTGACATCGAAAATTAGCCCACTTCTGATTGCTCAATAGATCTGAAATTTGGCATGTAGGCTACTTTCGCCTAACAATTTCAGATGCAATCATAAAAACTAGCAATTAGAGACCGTAATTAGCTTAATTTAATTACGCCCCAAGGACCATAAAATTGAGGACATGATTTCTAAAGATACCGACAAGACTGGAGGCCTATAGACACAGTTACTTCGGCCCCAATCGATGTGAGCGCGCTGGCCGTGATCGTATAGTGGTTAGTACTTCGCGTTGTGGCCGCGACAACCCAGGTTCGAATCCTGGTCGCTCAAGATTTTTTTAGTCCGTGTATTTATAAACACTTTTTTAAAAACCACGTTTTTCATGTGTAGCAACGGACTAAAAAGGAGAAAATAAAATACTTAAAAAAAAACTTTTTAAAAAACCACGTTTTTCTTGTGGACTAAAAAGTAGAAAATAACTATTTACATACATTTGATGACAAAAAACGTGGGTACGTTCACCATCAAATTTCCCGACCCATCTGCCCGACCCACGTTTTTTGTCATCAAATGTATGTAAATAGTTATTTTCTACTTTTTAGTCCACAAGAAAAACGTGGTTTTTTAAAAAGTTTTTTTTTAAGTATTTTATTATTAACTCAGCTTCGCGTGGATGTGTTTGTTGTTAAAATTGACATCGAAAATTAGCCCACTTCTGATTGCTCTATAGATCTGAAATTTGGCATGCAGGTTACTTTCGCCTAACAATTTCAGATGCAATCATAAAAACTAGCAATTAGAGACCGTAATTAGCTTAATTTAATTACGCCCAAAGGACCATAAAATTGAGGACATGATTTCTAAAGATACCGACAAGACTGGAGGCTTGTTGACACAGTTACTTCGGCCCCAATCGATGTGAGCGCGCTGGCCGTGATCGTATAGTGGTTAGTACTTCGCGTTGTGGCCGCGACAACCCAGGTTCGAATCCTGGTCGCTCAAGATTTTTTTAGTCCGTGTATTTATAAACACTTAGTCAATTCATACTTAATCAAGTCATTATATAAAGTAGAAAATAAACTATATAAAAAACTTTTTTAAAAAACACGTTTTTCATGTGTAGCAACGGACTAAAAAGGAGAAAATAAAATACTTAAAAAAAACTTTTTAAAAAACCACGTTTTTCTTGTGGACTAAAAAGTAGAAAATAACTATTTACATACATTTGATGACAAAAAACGTGGGTCGGGCAGATGGGTCGAGAAATTTGATGGTGAACGTACCCACGTTTTTTGTCATCAAATGTATGTAAATAGTTATTTTCTACTTTTTAGTCCACAAGAAAAACGTGGTTTTTTAAAAAGTTTTTTTTAAGTATTTTATTCTTAACTCAGCTTCGCGTTTGTTTGTTTGGTTGTTTGGATGTTTGTTGTTAAAATTGACATCGAAAATTAGCCCACTTCTGATTGCTCTAGAGACCTGAAATTTGGCATGCATGCTACTTTCGCCTAACAATTTCAGATGCAATCATAAAAACTAGCAATTAGTGACCGTAATTAGCTTAATTTAATTACGCCCCAAGGACCATAAAATTGAGGACATGATTTCTAAAGATACCGACAAGACTGGAGGCCTAATGACACAGTTACTTCGGCCCCAATCGATGTGAGCGCGCTGGCCGTGATCGTATAGTGGTTAGTACTTCGCGTTGTGGCCGCGACAACCCAGGTTCGAATCCTTGTCGCTCAATATTTTTAGTCCGTGTATTTATAAACACTTTTTTTAAAAACCACGTTTTTCATGTGTAGCAACGGACTAAAAAGGAGAACGGACACGGTAACACATTGTTAACGGTGACACGGTTGGTACGCTGGGCATGCTAAAATACACATAAACACGTTTTTTCCTTAACTCAGCTTCGCGTTTATTTGTTTGTTTATGGGAGATTTGATCACGTGATTCGTGAGTAGATCTCCACGCCAGCAACGTAAATTACACCCTTTCTCTGTTTAAAGCGTATCGGTCGCTCAAGATTTTTTTAGTCCGTGTATTTAAAAACACTTAGTCAAGTCATACTTAATCAAGTGATTAGATAAAGTAGAAAATAAACTATATAAAAAACTTTTTAAAAACCACGTTTTTCGTGTGTAGCAACGGACTAAAAAGGAGAAAATAAAATACTTAAAAAAAACTTTTTAAAAAACCACGTTTTTCTTGTGGACTAAAAAGTAAAAAATAAATTTTCATACATTTGATGACAAAAAACGTGGGTCGGGCAGATGGGTCGGGAAATTTGATGGTGAACGTACCCACAATTTTTGTCATCAAATGTATGAAAATTTATTTTTTACTTTTTAGTCCACAAGAAAAACGTGGTTTTTTAAAAAGTTTTTTTTAAGTATTTTATTTGTTGTTGTCATAAATACATTGTTAGTAAAGAAAGTATGAATATCAAAACAAACAACAAAATTGGTACAGGTAAATATTAATTTTTCTTGAAGAAAAAAAAATAATATTATAAGCTATTTATGGTCAACATCAAGCAGAATTTAGATTAATCTTCTTGTTTACCATAAGCATTAAACAAATTGTGAGGCTTAAAAATGATATTAAAATTCGATTATGTAAAAAGATTATAAGCTGGTTTTAATTTTTTTAATGGACCGCCCCCCCTCCCCCCCCCCCCCCACACACACAAGCTGAACGAACTCCAAATATTAAACTAGATCACCATCTGGTAAACTGCTAAGTAAAGTAATGTTTGTTCCCTTTTGAACATACATTTATTGCCATTTTCTTTAACTGTGAAACAAGCAGTTTAACCTATACAATATACAAAACTAAGCTATACATTTAAAAAAATCCTATTCTTATCCCAAGTTCCACTCAGGTTTTTGTCAAAAGATTTAAAATTCTAGATATATCACACATTTTAATTTTAGTATATAGTTGCAGCTGAAAAAATTGAACATTTTACTGACGAAATTGTTATATTGTATTTAGCCAACAATTATTTAGTAAGTAAATTAAAATTAAATTGATATTTTTGATTAGTTTGTATTTTAAAGCCTTGAAAAAGTAAAATTGTATGTACTATTTTTGTATAATATTAAAGGTTAATTTAGGTTTGGCACTATCTAATTTGTAAGGTTGTTAAGAGTAAGAGATTATCGAATTCTAATTATGTGATTTTCATTGAGTATTGTGCTTAATTCTATAAATAACACCCCGCTCCCACAAATAAAAAATCAAAAGTATTAAGCGAGGTAACCACGACTATACTATTAAATGAGACAATTTCATGTTTGTCCCCCTTTGACCATATATTTTTTATGTTTAATTAAAGAGGGATAACTTTGATTAAAATATTTAAGCGAAGTAACCACGGCTGAACTATGAACTGAGACATTTTCATGTTTGTCCCCCTTTGACCATATATTTTTTTTGTTTTAAAAAAAGAGGGATAACTTTGACTCAAATATTTAAGCGAAGTAACCACGTCTGAACTATGAACTGGGGCAATTTCATGTTTGTCCCCCTTTGGCCATACATTTTGTTTTTAAAGTTTAACAGGGATTTAATTTAGTACAATAAATTAAAAGTAATTCGTACAATAATACAATTTTAAGTAAAAATTTTAATTTCAAAACAACTGCAATTTTTAGTTTTCCTTCTTTCTTCTAACGATTATTTTACTAAATTTCTTTATTGTTGATAATTTGTATTGTAATTAAAAGGATCAGAGAATATGAAAATTTTATTTTTAATGTTTAAATTAAATTTGTCTTATCAGTATTTTTTTTTAAATACATTATTAATATGTACATCCTAATGACATTTTTTTAAAAATTTTAATTTAACCTGAATTCCAAGTTTGTTTTTGAAATTCGGAAGTTATAGCATAAACCTGAACCCCCCCCCCCCCCCGCCCATGTGTGACTTGAGGATCTCATATCTGTTCATTTAACTGAAGCACAAGCCACAACAACAATGATTTAGTTTCAAACTTTTAATATGGTGTTGACAATTCTCTGACGTCAGGTGTTACATAGGTTGTCAGGTGTTACATAGGTCGGTACACTCAAGATGACAAGGCACTTGTCATTTAAGATGGCAGCAAGGCTGTCAATAAAAGCATAAATTATAGGATTAATCATATCTAAAGAATATTTTGATTACATGAGAGAGAGCTCAAAATACAAGCTTTCTTCATTAAAGTTGCTTTAACTGTTCACAGATATAATATTTTAGGTGGATGAAATACTCACAATAGTTGATAGTTTTGTGAAATATTTTAGGTGGCTGAAATACTCACAATAGTTCATAGTTTTGTGAAATATTTTAGGTGGCTGAAATACTCACAATAGTTGATAGTTTTGTGAAATATTTTAGGTGGCTGAAATACTCACAATAGTTGATAGTTTTGTGAAATATTTTAGGTGGCTGAAATACTCACAATAGTTCATAGTTTTGGATCTGTGAAACAGAGAGCCAAGAGAATGTCTAGTTTTGGCCTTGTTGCTCTCCTGTGGCGCTGCAGCATTAGTCCTGGCCTGGTGCAAGGTCCGTCCTGTAAAGCGAAATTTGGAGCCAGACCTAGAAAATCTTTTTTTTGCCTGGTCAGCTGATCTCAAACTGGTGAAACAAATCGTCTTTGTTTAATCTCAAACTGGTGAAACAAATCATCTTTGTTTAATCTCAAACAGGTGAAACAAATCGTCTTTGTTTAATCTCAAACTGGTGAAACAAATCATCTTTGTTTAATCTCAAACTGGTGAAACAAATCATCTTTGTTTAATCTCAAACTGGTGAAACAAATCATCTTTGTTTAATATCAAACTGGTGAAACAAATCATCTTTGTTTAATCTCAAACTGGTGAAACAAATCATCTTTGTTTAATATCAAACTGGTGAAACAAATCATCTTTGTTTAATCTCAAACTGGTGAAACAAATCTTTGTTTACAACACTTGAAAATGTAAGTCCCCAGTACATGAGCTGTGTACATATAACACTAAGTGATATGGCAGCTTCATGAGCTGTGTACATATAACACTAAGCGATATGGCAGCTTCATGAGCTGTGTACATATAACACTAAGTGATATGAGAGCTTCATTTCAAACAGCTTTGAACTGTTTTTAGCATTAAATAGACAAGATTTGTAGTCTAGCTGAGGCAGCCCACTCACCCAGCCAAATGTTGAAGTCAGTTTTGTAGAACATTACTCTATACCACCCCCTACTGTTACTACTACTATATCAACCACCCCACACCAACTGTATCTTTTAACTGTTAACTAGCAGTTTTTAAAACATTTTTTTCTTACCGAATAAAAACATGGTGCTCAACAGTTATTTTCCACAAAGCTTTGGCTGCTTTATTATCAGGCAATTTGAAAGTAACCCAACTTTCAAAGCTACTAGACTACAGGAAAAGAGTAAAACATCAAAATTACTAAACATTTGATGTTTATTAATATAAGGTTAATTGCTTCCACAAACTAAATGTATAATAATTCAAAATTGATTGCTACAGTATGTAAATATTTAATTATTTAAAGTTAATTACTTCAGCAGGTTTTACTCTGAGAAGGAATTTATTCCTTCTATAAGAAATTTTCAGAATTTTTGGCCAGTTAAATTTGTTAATTAAAATATTTTCTCTGTAAGTTGATATTCCAGCAGCGCCTATTCCCAAAAGAATATCTTTATTCTCTGCATCCTGTAAATATAAATAAATTAATTAGTTTAAACATTTTCCCAAATGAATTTAGTTTTATTTATTTATATGAATATACATATACATTTTACATTATTTTAATCAAAAATGGGCAAAAATTGAATCTTAAGCAAGTTTTGTGACTAAAACCTGTTAACTGCAAGTTCAGACCTGCAACTAAGTTTACCTTGACTTGATGAAGGTCAAGGCCATAAAGGTCCATTTTGTGACTGTATTCCAGGTAGTGCAGGGCAGCTTGTGCTGGAGTTTGACCTCTAGAGTTCAAAGGTTAAGCATTGTAAAACTTGTAGCTAATTTACTTTAATTTCATTTTAAAAATAAAGCGAGTTGCAACAGTAGTCAGATTTATTTAGGATTTTTTTTTATCACTACAAAATATGAAAAATTTATAGGACCCTACTTTAACTAATGTTGCCCGTCTGAAATTTTGAATGCCCCCCCCCCCCCCCCCCCTTGTTGAGAGTAAAAATATCTGAAGTAACACTGAGTAAAACCATGGAAACAACACAAGCTAATGAATGTAACCATGGAAACAACACAAGCCTATCAGTGTAACCATGGAAACAACACAAGCCAATGTGCGTAACCATGGAAACAAGACAAGCTGTTTATCCCACCACTCACTTGTGTTGTTTGTGTAAGGCAGCAATTTTGTAGATTAAGTCTTCAGTCTGGTCTGGGGCAAAAGGCATGTCTCTAATGTAATCCACACCTGTGCCATGGTCAATGGGGTCATAGTCACCAATATCAGCCTGGACAGCATACGACCCTAACTAAACTGCTAAAACCTTCTGTTTTTACATCTAAACTCTCAAAACTTTCTGTTTTTACATCTAAACTGTCTAACTTTAAAATTAGTATTTTAGGATATAATAGAACAGTATGTAACCTATAATAATAGCCTATTATAAGTGAAATAAAAACATGCATAATAATATTTGAAAAAAAAATACCCCTCTAAACTGATTATCTCCCTTGCCACATGTTTGATTAGCTCCCTTGCTGTATGTCAAACCAAAATAGTCCCTCTCTGACAACTGTAGATGGGCGCACACTTTATCAAACAACAGCTGACCCCTTGCATGTTTCTAGGCAGAGTATAAGACACTAATCAATAATCAATATATGTTACTTTAAGAAACTAATCAATAATCAATATAGGTTACTTTAAGACACTAATCAATATAGGTTACTTTAAGACACTAATCAATAATCAGTATAGGTTACTTTAAGACAATAATCAATATAGGTTACTTTAAGACACTAATCAATATAGGTTACTTTAACTTAATTTAAGACACTAATCAATATAGGTTACTTTAACGTACTTTAAGACACTAATCAATATGGGTTACTTTAACTTCCTTTAAGACACTAACCAATATAGGTGATTATAAGACACTAATCAGTAACCAATACAGGTTACTTTAAGACAACTGTTATGTATACAATAATGAGACTATACAGACTGCAAGCATTAAATTAGATTGGTGATGTTGATCAATTGGTTAGGTTGGTGTGGGTTAGGTTGGTGTGGGTTAGGTTGATGTGGGTTAGGTTGGTGTGGATTACGTTGGTGATGTTGACATTGGTTTAGGTTGGTGTGGGTTAGGTTGATGTGGGTTAGGTTGGTGTGGGTTAGGTTGATGTGGGTTAGGTTGGTGTGGGTTAGGTTGGTGTGGGTTAGGTTGATGTGGGTTAGGTTGGTGTGGGTTAGGTTGGTGTGGGTTAGGTTGGTGTGGGTTAGGTTGCTGTGGGTTAGGTTGGTGTGGGTTAGGTTGATGTGGGTTAGGTTGGTGTGGGTTAGGTTGGTGTGAGTTAGGTTGATGTGGGTTAGGTTGGTGATGTTGACGTTGGGTTAGGTTTGTGATGCTGACGTTGGGTTAGGTTGGTGATGCTGACGTTGTGTTAGGTTGATGATGTTGATGTGTTGAAACCGCCTACCTCTACCGTCACCTTGTGTACATCACCATTCAACAAATTCACCACACACAGCAGGGGTCGTATGGTGCTGGGTACTGGTGAGACATCACCACATGAGAATGGTGACACATCACTACATGAGAGTGGTGACACATCACTACATGAGAATGGAGACCCATCTGGACACACACTGTGGTCAGTCTGTTGTGTCAATGACCCACTTAACGACCTTGACCTTCCATCTTTCTCCATGTTTGCCGTCTGATAAAGCCTATTGAGACAAGACTGTTTTACTCAAATTACAAACACCACGTGATTAGGCACAAATATAAATTGTGTGTGAACATACGTCTCCAGGAAAAAGGGTATAACAGCAATCACTTGACCGAGGTTTTGGGAAGGAAATTTTTAAAATTGGAAGATTAAAAAAAATGTAAACAAAGCCCAGGAAGTGACACCGTGGATTATTGAGAGGCGAAAATATGGTCCACATTTTGAGCACACCCCACATTTTGAGCACACCCCACATTTTGAGCACACCCCACATTTTGAGTACACCCAAAACCACAGTGAAAACACGCAGGAAGGAAATAAACGCAAACTTACACCGTGTCGACACCAGTAGCAGTAATGGTAAGCAGGACAAGATGTGTTGGCCTACCAAACGTCGAAACAAAATTAATTTTAATGGATGTAAACTAACAAAGAATAAGGGAAACAAATAGTTATCAAAGAGATACTATAAAAAAGAAGTAGAAAACATCAGGTTAATTGATACTTTTAACAAAGAAATACGAAAACGCCAACGGTTGCTACCAACAAAAAGTAAACAAAGCCACAAACTAACACTGTTTAAAGCACACAATGCCAAGACTCACTAGACTCGCCTCCTCAGAATCACGTAAGTCTCAAGCCGAGAACACCGTGTGAGAACACCGTGTGAGAACACCGTGTTTACAGCACACAGAAAAACTGGTTGAATTCTACCACAGGTTGGCTACATCAGACATGTTAGGATTTCACCAACACCCGACCTAACGTCCACCACCGTCCACCACCCCCACCTACCAGCCACCTGTTACATTCTCGTCCGTCCACTACCCTGGACATACGTGTGTTCGTCACGCTTGACTAGACACAGCACATTATTGTTGCCGCCTGCGGTCCAGTGAACTCTGGTGACCATCACCTTAACACTGGGGTTGGTACGCTGGGGTCATTAAAGTTGACCTACGTCTGTTGGAACCCGCGGCCATGCCGAACATATGACAGAGAGAGTTCGATGGACGCTAGCGCCAGTATTTGGGAGACGGTTAGGGTCGGCTAATGGGGGGTGGGGGGGGGGGGGTGGGGGGGGGGGGAGTGGACACGGCTGTTTCATCTCTAGGGCAAGCCGCTGCTGAAAGTTGGCGTCAAAACTAAACAAAAGTTTATTTAGGGTTTAGTTAGGTCCACAATACTCTATCAATACACACACACGTCACACACCCGCACAAACACACACACTTGCTTGTGAGTTAGTTATCTCATGTGTATATTAAGGTCAATCAATATATGGCTTTTGACGGGGAAATAGAATCCTAATGCTGTTCACACCCAAAACAAACAGAAAAAAAAACAACTAAGATCCGCTCAGAAAAGAAAAATAACAACTTATTGTGGAGTTTTTATTTATTTTTTAACAACAGGATCTTAAACGAAAATAGACTAGAATGGACGTTACAATTAAAAAAAATAATGTTTGCGATTTGTAATGAGTGGGGTATGAGTTTTCGAAATGTTGTAAATAAAAACATGAACCGGAATATAATACCAGACAATTATGTGAGGATGATCTATTGATGGAATAGCCAGTATGCGTTCACCAAAAATCCTGTGTAAAAATGCTTGAACAAAAAAACATCAATTGACGCGGAGAAAAAATACAAATTCTCTGTTACAAATTGTATTATTGACGTTCCTTGAAAATGTAATTTCAAATTCTCTGTTACAAATTGTATTTTTGACATTCCTTTAAAATGTAATTTCTCTTGTTTTCAACATCGTGTGGTATACTTAAAGAATCCGCCCCACACATATTATCACACATACCCGCCCCACACATATTATCACACAAACCAACTCCACGCATGTTATCACACTTTGGCCATCTACATTTTTTTCTTTGACAAAATCCCCTCACACATACAATATTTAAACACAAACTTGACAAAATCCCCTCACACATACAATATTTAAACACAAACTTGACAAAATCCCCTCACACATACAATATTTAAACACAAACTTTAAGGAATTAAAATCTTTCTTTGACAAAATCCCCTCACACATACAATATTTAAATACAAACTTTAAGGAATTAAAACCAAGTCGGCGTTCACAGTTTCAGATATCATTACCTATATCAGCCCTTAATCTTCAGACACTACTTGTACTTCATAAGTTCCTTAAGCTACATTCTGATTTGACAAGAGTTTAGCGGCCTTGTAATAATGCGGTGGGTTTACGGTACCGTTGCTATATTTAAAAAAAATATTTCCGTAGACTTTCTGTGTTTTCCTGCAGTTTTATGGCATCAGTTCAGATATTCTGCTCTCCCCTGATCTGCCCGGGGCACACTCCCCACCCCCTGTCGTAGCCAAATTCGTTGCCTCTCCCAGTACGAAAATCGACATTTTTTTAATGTTCTCTTTTCGACTTTCTTGGGCAATTTCCTTTTGTTTAACACTGTGTCCTATGCACATCATTATGTCCTATACCCGTCATTGTGTCCTATACCACGCCATTATGTCCTATGCCATGCCATTATGTCCTATGCCACGCCATTTTGTCCTATGCCTTGAACATTTTCTGCTAGTTCTGATGACCCAGTGACCTAACCATTTGAGCTCACGTGATGTACCGATGTTACTCTCAGATAAATTATTTACACAGCTAAAGCAACAAGCATCAATTACTCAGCGGCAGCTTAAGGGTGTGAACTGGCGATGGCGGCAAGCCACGGAAAGCTCTCGTCAGCGCATGCGCGGAGTAATAAATTCCTATTCCCCCACAGGCAAGACCAAGGACGATGATGCAGACGTCCAGCGCCCTCGCTGGGCGGGACATGGCGAACCAGCGCAGACGTAGGTGGAAGTAGCAGGGCCAGACGAAGGACAACATGGTGCCCGTGAAGCTGCCGATCAGACCCATGAGCAGCGCGAAGTGGGGGACAATGATCGCCATGGCGCACGTGAACAGCACCAGCCCCAGACGTAGACTTAGGCCCCACCATCGCAGCACGTGCTGGTCGTCTAGGCAGGGCGGGCAGCAGGTGTGGGGCGCGCCCCTGAAGAAGGCCGCCTCCAGCAGCTCAACAGAGGCGTAGTAGGGCAGCGGGTAGGAGAGCATGGCCTTGCAGACGAGGATGATGTTGACGATGAGCTTGAGACTCAATGAGGGCAGGTTGTTGGTCACCACTTCTAGCGTGTCAAAACCCCAGGTCAGAAAACCGACGTAGCTGTTGGTAGAAATGGGGGGGTGGGGGGGGTGGGGGGTGGGAGGATGTAGAGAATGTTTATGTAACCAAACCGCAAGGAAATTGAAAAAAAAAACAACGGAAGGTTAAAAGACCAAGATTATAAAACCAGGACAATTTTTTTTTTCAAGATTGTAGTGAGTTTAAGGCCCTAAACATTTGTCAGGAAAGTTTTCATTACGGTTTTCTCATATATTCTTGTTAGAGAAATTTACAATAGGCTTGAAAAGTTTGTTCTAAATAGTTTCAAATAGTTGTTGCAAGAGAGCACATTTTTCAACCAAAATTGAATATTTCATAACATTTGAGAAATAAGTACAATGTGAATGTTGGATGATTGTTGAATGAATGTTGGATGAATGTTGGATGTATGTTGGATGAATGTTGCATTCATGTTGGATGTATGTTGGATGAATGCTGGATGAATGTTGCATTCATGTTGGATGAATGTTGGATGAATGTTGCATTCATGTTGGATGTATGTTGGATGAATGCTGGATGAATGTTGCATTCATGTTGGATGAATGTTGGATGAATGTTGGATGAATGTTGGATGAATGGTGGATGTATGTTGGATGAATGCTGGATGAATGTTGGATGAATGTTTGATGAATGTAGGATGCAATTTGGATGTATGTAGGATGAATGTTGGATGAATATTGGATGAATGTTGGATGCAATTTGGATGTATGTTGGATGAATGTAGGATGCAATTTGGATGTATGTTTGATGAATGTAGGATGCAATTTGGATGTATGTTTGATGAATGTAGGATGCAATTTGGATGTATGTTGGATGAATGTAGGATGAATATTGGATGAATGTTGGATGCAATTTGGATGTATGTAGGATGAATGTTGGATGAATGTTGGACCTGAATAGAGCTTTGAAGACCGCAGCGGTCAGGTGTGTCCACGTCATCATACACTTGAACTTTGACCTGTCGCGAAGCTTGCCCTCCAGGGAGGGGAGGAAGATCTGTGACGTGTACGAGAAGACGATGATGCCCAGTGAGATGGGAAATGTCCAGATGTCTATCCGCACCTGCACGTCTGACCATCGCCACTGGTCAGCCTGTGGAGTCGTTCAAGTTAGAAACAAGTGTGTTGTAAGCTGGTTAACATACATATTTATGTCGTGAGCTAGATGACATACATATTTATGTCGTGAGCTAGATGACATACATATTTATGTTGTGAGCTAGATGACATACATATTTATGTCGTGAGCTAGATCACATACATATTTATGTTGTGAGCTAGATGACATACATATTTATGTTGTGAGCTAGATGACATACATATGTATGTCGTGAGCTAGATGACATACATATTTATGTCGTGAGCTAGATGACATACATATTTATGTCGTGAGCTAGATGACATACATATTTATGTCGTGAGCTAGATGACATACATATTTATGTCGTGAGCTAGTTGACATACATATTTATGTCGTGAGCTAGATGACATACATATTTATGTCGTGAGCTAGATGACATACATATTTATGTCGTGAGCTAGATGACATACATATTTATGTTGTGAGCTAGATGACATACATATTTATGTCGTGAGCTAGATGACATACATATTTATGTTGTGAGCTAGATGACATACATATTTATGTTGTGAGCTAGATGACATACATATTTATGTCGTGAGCTAGATGACATACATATTTATGTTGTTAGCTGGTTGACATACATATTTATGTCGTGAGTTAAATGACATAAACATTACTGGCGTTAGCTAGTATACCAATTATTGACGAGCATATTATTCTACTGACTCGGGTCTAGGGTCCGAACTGGAGACCTCCGGGTTAGAAGTCGTGTGCTCTACCTCCCGGGCACACCGTCCAGTGCACACATTAGTGGGCAGCTGATATTCTAATTATTGACATGCATGTTCTGACTAATTTGTCGCTAACAATTTTCTAATCAACGAGGGCTAGACATGACAGGTGTTACGTGTGTCAGTAATGTCAGTTGTCATATTACGTGTCATATGACAACTATGTCATGTGAATCATGGCTGTCAGCAAGAATTTAGTCAAACTGTAATGTTCACCTTATAATCAGAGAGGGGGAGGCGTCTATACCGTTGCTAAGATACCCCTCACCCAGCCCACCACACCATGCTACGGTAATGAGAAGAGACAGAGCTAGGGTGCTGGTCACATTACCTTGGTGAAACAATAGATCAAGATAATTGCGTTGATGAGCATGTGCGCCACCGTGCACCACATGCTCAGTGTGCTCACGCGGACCAGCGAGGTCAGGAAGGCACACGCCAGCAAGGGAGCCGTGCACAGGAGGATCCAGGAGGTCAAGGTCAGGGGCGTGTTGGGGAAACTCCCCTGGATCAGGTCGCCACACAGCAGCACGTACAGAATACACGTCATCAGCAGCTCGATCAGCTGTAAGACAGGTGTGAGACAGGTGTGAGAGAGGTGTGAGACAGGTGGGGTGTAAGACAGGTGTGAGACAGGTGTGAGACAGGTGTGAGACAGGTGGGGTGTAAGACAGGTGGGGTGTAAGACAGGTGTGAGACAGGTGTGAGACAGGTGTGAGACAGGTGTGAGACAGGTGTGAGACAGGTGTGAGACAGGTCTGAGACAGGTGTGAGACAGGTGTGAGACAGGTGTGAGACAGGTGTAAGACAGGTGTGAGACAGGTGGGGTGTGAGACAGGTGTGAGACAGGTGTGAGACAGGTGTGAGACAGGTGTAAGACAGGTGTGAGACAGGTGGGGGTGTGAGACAGGTGTGAGACAGGTGTGAGACAGGTGGGGTGTAAGACAGGTGTAAGACAGGTGTGAGACAGGTGTGAGACAGGTGGGGTGTGAGACAGGTGTGAGACAGGTGTGAGAAAGGTGTGAGACAGGTGTGAGACAGGTGTGAGACAGGTGTGAGACAGGTGTGAGACAGGTGTAAGACAGGTGTGAGACAGGTGGGGTGTAAGACAGGTGTAAGACAGGTGTGAGACAGGTGTAAGACAGGTGTGAGACAGGTGTGAGACAGGTGTGAGACAGGTGGGGTGTGAGACAGGTGGGGTGTAAGACAGGTGTAAGACAGGTGTGAGACAGGTGTAAGACAGGTGTGAGACAGGTGTGAGACAGGTGTGAGACAGGTGGGGTGTGAGACAGGTGGGGTGTAAGACAGGTGTAAGACAGGTGTGAGACAGGTGTAAGACAGGTGTGAGACAGGTGTGAGACAGGTGTGAGACAGGTGGGGTGTGAGACAGGTGGGGTGTAAGACAGGTGTGAGACAGGTGTGAGACAGGTGTGAGACAGGTGTAAGACAGGTGTGAGACAGGTGGGGTGTGAGACAGGTGTGAGACAGGTGTGAGACAGGTGGGGTGTAAGACAGGTGTAAGACAGGTGTGAGACAGGTGTGAGACAGGTGGGGTGTGAGACAGGTGTGAGACAGGTGTGAGACAGGTGTGAGACAGGTGTGAGACAGGTGTGAGACAGGTGTGAGACAGGTGTGAGACAGGTGTGAGACAGGTGTGAGACAGGTGTGAGACAGGTGGGGTGTGAGACAGGTGTAAGACAGGTGTGAGACAGGTGTAAGACAGGTGTGAGACAGGTGTGAGACAGGTGTGAGACAGGTGGGGTGTGAGACAGGTGGGGTGTGAGACAGGTGTGAGACAGGTGTGAGACAGGTGTGAGACAGGTGTGAGACAGGTGGGGTGTGAGACAGGTGTGAGACAGGTGTGAGACAGGTGTGAGACAGGTGTGAGACAGGTGGGGTGTGAGACAGGTGTAAGACAGGTGTGAGACAGGTGGGGTGTGAGACAGGTGTGAGACAGGTGGGGTGTAAGACAGGTGTAAGACAGGTGTGAGACAGGTGTGAGACAGGTGTAAGACAGGTGTGAGACAGGTGTGAGACAGGTGTGAGACAGGTGTGAGACAGGTGGGGTGTGAGACAGGTGGGGTGTGAGACAGGTGTGAGACAGGTGTGAGACAGGTGTGAGACAGGTGTGAGACAGGTGTGAGACAGGTGTGAGACAGGTGTGAGACAGGTGTGAGACAGGTGTGAGACAGGTGTGAGACAGGTGGGGTGTGAGACAGGTGGGGTGTGAGACAGGTGTAAGACAGGTGTGAGACAGGTGTAAGACAGGTGTGAGACAGGTGTGAGACAGGTGTGAGACAGGTGGGGTGTGAGACAGGTGGGGTGTAAGACAGGTGTGAGACAGGTGTGAGACAGGTGTGAGACAGGTGTAAGACAGGTGTGAGACAGGTGGGGTGTGAGACAGGTGTGAGACAGGTGTGAGACAGGTGGGGTGTAAGACAGGTGTAAGACAGGTGTGAGACAGGTGGGGTGTGAGACAGGTGTGAGACAGGTGGGGTGTAAGACAGGTGTAAGACAGGTGTGAGACAGATGTGAGACAGGTGTAAGACAGGTGTGAGACAGGTGTGAGACAGGTGTGAGACAGGTGTGAGACAGGTGGGGTGTGAGACAGGTGGGGTGTGAGACAGGTGTGAGACAGGTGTGAGACAGGTGTGAGACAGGTGTGAGACAGGTGTGAGACAGGTGTGAGACAGGTGTAAGACAGGTGTGAGACAGGTGTGAGACAGGTGTGAGACAGGTGGGGTGTGAGACAGGTGGGGTGTGAGACAGGTGTAAGACAGGTGTGAGACAGGTGTAAGACAGGTGTGAGACAGGTGTGAGACAGGTGTGAGACAGGTGGGGTGTGAGACAGGTGGGGTGTAAGACAGGTGTGAGACAGGTGTGAGACAGGTGTGAGACAGGTGTAAGACAGGTGTGAGACAGGTGGGGTGTGAGACAGGTGTGAGACAGGTGTGAGACAGGTGGGGTGTAAGACAGGTGTAAGACAGGTGTGAGACAGGTGTGAGACAGGTGGGGTGTGAGACAGGTGTGAGACAGGTGTGAGACAGGTGTGAGACAGGTGTGAGACAGGTGTCAGACAGGTGTGAGACAGGTGTGAGACAGGTGTGAGACAGGTGTGAGACAGGTGTGAGACAGGTGTGAGACAGGTGTGAGACAGGTGGGGTGTGAGACAGGTGTAAGACAGGTGTGAGACAGGTGTAAGACAGGTGTGAGACAGGTGTGAGACAGGTGTGAGACAGGTGGGGTGTGAGACAGGTGGGGTGTGAGACAGGTGTGAGACAGGTGTGAGACAGGTGTGAGACAGGTGTGAGACAGGTGGGGTGTGAGACAGGTGTGAGACAGGTGTGAGACAGGTGTGAGACAGGTGGGGTGTAAGACAGGTGTAAGAAAGGTGTGAGACAGGTGTGGTGTGAGACAGGTGTGAGACAGGTGTGAGACAGGTGGGGTGTAAGACAGGTGTAAGACAGGTGTGAGACAGGTGTGAGACAGGTGTAAGACAGGTGTGAGACAGGTGTGAGACAGGTGTGAGACAGGTGTGAGACAGGTGTGAGACAGGTGGGGTGTGAGACAGGTGGGGTGTGAGACAGGTGGGGTGTGAGACAGGTGTGAGACAGGTGTGAGACAGGTGTGAGACAGGTGTGAGACAGGTGTGAGACAGGTGTGAGACAGGTGTGAGACAGGTGTGAGACAGGTGGGGTGTGAGACAGGTGGGGTGTGAGACAGGTGTGAGACAGGTGTGAGACAGGTGGGGTGTAAGACAGGTGTAAGACAGGTGTGAGACAGGTGGGGTGTGAGACAGGTGTGAGACAGGTGTGAGACAGGTGGAGTGTAAGACAGGTGTAAGACAGGTGTGAGACAGGTAGGGTGTAAGACAGGTGTGAGACAGGTGTGAGACAGGTGGGGTGTAAGACAGGTGTAAGACAGGTGTGAGACAGGTGGGGTGTGAGACAGGTGTGAGACAGGTGTGAGACAGGTGGGGTGTAAGACAGGTGTAAGACAGGTGTGAGACAGGTGTGAGACAGGTGTAAGACAGGTGTGAGACAGGTGTGAGACAGGTGTGAGACAGGTGGGGTGTGAGACAGGTGGGGTGTGAGACAGGTGTGAGACAGGTGTGAGACAGGTGTGAGACAGGTGTGAGACAGGTGTGAGACAGGTGTGAGACAGGTGTGAGACAGGTGTGAGACAGGTGGGGTGTGAGACTGGTGTAAGACAGGTGTGAGACAGGTGTAAGACAGGTGTGAGACAGGTGTGAGACAGGTGTGAGACAGGTGGGGTGTGAGACAAGTGGGGTGTAAGACAGGTGTGAGACAGGTGTGAGACAGGTGTGAGACAGGTGTGAGACAGGTGTGAGACAGGTGGGGTGTGAGACAGGTGTGAGACAGGTGTGAGACAGGTGTGAGACAGGTGTGGTTTGAGACAGGTGTGGTGTAAGACAGGTGTGGTGTAAGACAGGTGTGGTGTAAGACAGGTGTGGTGTAAGACAGGTGTGGTGTAAGACATGTGGTGTAAGACAGGTGTGGTGTAAGACAGGTGTGGTGTAAGACAGGTGTGGTGTAAGACAGGTGTGGTGTAAGACAGGTGTGGTGTAAGACAGGTGGTGTAAGACAGGTGTGGTGTAAGACAGGTGTGGTGTAAGACAGGTGTGGTGTAAGACAGGTGTGGTGTAAGACAGGTGTGGTGTAAGACAGGTGGTGTAAGACAGGTGTGGTGTAAGACAGGTGTGGTGTAAGACAGGTGTGGTGTAAGACAGGTGTGAGACAGGTGTAAGACAGGTGTGAGACAGGTGTGGTGTAAGACAGGTGTGAGACAGGTGTGGTTTGAGACAGGTGTGGTTTAAGACAGGTGTGGTGTAAGACAGGTGTGGTGTAAGACAGGTGTGGTGTAAGACAGGTGGTGTAAGACAGGTGTGGTGTAAGACAGGTGGTGTAAGACAGGTGTGGTGTAAGACAGGTTTGGTGTAAGACAGGTGGTGTAAGACAGGTGTGGTGTAAGACAGGTGTGGTGTAAGACAGGTGGTGTAAGACAGGTGTGGTGTAAGACAGGTGTGAGACAGTTTGGGTATAAGTAATAGTAAGACAGGTGGCTTTAAGACATCTGTCAACTGTAACAACCAAAGAAAAGTGGATCTCTCTAGCGTAGTTTTTAATCAACTTGGAAGAAATTATATGCTTAACAAATACAAGTCTCAGAATATCAGGAACACTTCCTACCTGGGCACACCTGACGATTCTGGCACCGTACCGTGCTCCCCACACAGCCGTTGCGATGTCCACGTAACTGGAACGCACGCGGACTCTTTGACCCATGGGGTCAAGGTCGTAGAGGCAGTCGACGAGGATGTTTCCGGTGTGGCAGCAGATGTAGGCCACCAGCACCATGGCAACCACAGCCCAGTAGCCGCCCTGCAGCACGGTGTAGGGGAAGCTGACGATAAACATGCCCTGTGGATAGGGGGCACAACTCATGTATGCCCTGTGGATAGGGGACACAACTCACGATATGCCCTGTGGATAGGGGGCACAACTCACGATATGCCCTGTGGATAGGGCACACAACTCACGATATGCCCTGTGGATAGGGAACACAACTCACGATATGCTCTGTGGATAGGGCACACAACTCACGATATGCCCTGTGGATAGGGGACACAACTCACGATATGCCCTGTGGATAGGGGACACAACTCACGATATGCCCTGTGGATAGGGGAGACAACTCACGATATGCCCTGTGGATAGGAGGCACAACTCGCGATATGCCCTGTGGATAGGGGACACAACTCACGATATGCCCCGTGGATAGGGGAGACAACTCACGATATGCCCTGTGGATATGAGACACAACTCACGATATGCCCCGTGGATAGGAGTGACAACTCACGATATGCCCTGTGGATAGGGGAAACAACTCACGATATGCCCTGTGGATAGGGGACACCTCACGATATGCCCTGTGGATAGGTTGCACAACTCACGGTATGCCCTGTGGATAGGGGGCACAACTCACGATATGCCCTGTGGATAGGGGACACAACTCAGAGAGCCGTCTCTAAATGACGTCACGCTTGTTTAGATTTCTATTTTAGCCAATGATCTCTCTCCATTGCGCCACATTCTCACCAAACGTTAACACGTATGACGTCATAATGCAGCTTGTCCTCCTACCCCACGCTGCTTCTCTTTTGTGAAACAGGTCTTGGGATCAAAGGTCTTGGGATCAAAGGTCTTGGGATCAAAGGTCTTGGGATCAAAGGTCTTGGGATAAAAGGTCTTGGGATCAAGGGTCTTGGGATAAAAGGTCTTGGGATCAAAGGTCTTGGGATCAAGGGTCTGGGGATCAAAGGTCTTGGGATCAAAGGTCTTGGGATAAGGGTCTGGGGATCAAAGGTCTGGGGATCAAAGGTCTTGGGATCAAAGGTCTTGTGATCAAGGGTCTTAAGATCAAAGGTCTTGGGATCAAAGGTCTTGGGATCGGAGGTCTTGGGATCAAAGGTCTGGGGATCAAAGGTCTTGGGATCAAAGGTCTTGGGATCGGGGGTCTTGGGATCAAAGGTCTGGGGATCAAAGGTCTTGGGATCAAAGGTCTTGGGATCAAAGGTCTTGGGATCGGGGCTCTTGGGATCAAAGGTCTTGGGATCGGGGGTCTTGGGATCAAAGGTCTTGGGATCAAAGGTCTTGGGATCAGAGGTCTTGGGATCAGGGGTCTTGGGATCAAGGGTCTAGGGATCAAAGGTCTTGGGATCAAAGGTCTTGGGATCAAAGGTCTGGGGATCAGGGAGGATCGATGAGCCAACGATTAGGATTGTCATCCCAAGAAGTCGGTTCAACATGATTCAAGTATTACTGGCTAGGTCTGGTTGTCCCTCGGTCAACATGCTGAGCAGTCACTTCTTGAGGGGTCATATGTTGAGGGGTCATATGTTGAGGGGTCATATGTTAAGGGGTCATAAGTTGAGGGGTCATATGTTGAGGGGTCAGATGTTGAGGGGTCACATGTTTAGGGGTCAGATGTTGAGGGGTCATAAGTTGAGGGGTCATATGTTGAGGGGTCATATGTGGAGGGGTCATATGTTGAGGGGTCATATGTGGAGGGGTCATATGTCAGGGGTCATATGTTGAGGGGTCATATGTGGAGGGGTCATATGTTGAGGAGTCACATGTTGAGGGGTCAGATGTTGAGGGGTCACATGTTGAGGGGTCAGATGTTTAGGGGTCATATGTTAATGAGTCATAAGTTGAGGGGTCAGATGTTGAGGGGTCATATGTTAGGGGTCATATGTTGAGGGGTCATATGTGGAGGGGTCATATGTTTAGGGGTCATATGTTAAGGGGTCATAAGTTGAGGGGTCAGATGTTGAGGGGTCAGATGTTGAAGGATCGTCTTGAAAAATGTTCTGGACGTAGGGACGGGCGGAGGAGAATGAAATATGGGTGTGGTGTCACCAACCCTCACCCCCTACCCATTCGCCTCTGCCCGCCGCCCCATGTACCGCCATCTTGCAGTGGTATCGACTCCAGCGCGTGCACCTTGCCGCCACGCCCGACCCCCACAGACGGCCCCGACCCCCACCAACGGTACACGACAAACACCATGTTTGATTGCCATTCGATTTTCTCGCGCGCCTTACTCGCTAATTCCCAGACCGATTTTTGCCGTAATCGATTACCCTAGTGGTAATCAAGGAACCACAGAACAAGGGATTTGGGATCTGAAGTTCCCCCTCTCCACCCCCGCCCCCGTCCATCAAGATCACATGCCGAATATTCATCGCGATAAAAAAAATTGTTTTTGGGATTTTCAAGATGATTGTTGATTGATCGTGACCTTCGATCATCCCACGTGACCACCCATAAACTCTCACACCTGCATAACTTTTAATCCCCACCCACACCTGCATACCTTTGGGTAATCCCTACCCCTCCGGTCTTCTCATGGATAATCCCCACACACAACAGCCAACCCTCAGGAAATTCCCGTCAACACTGCTTTTCCTTTGCTTAATTCCCCACCCTCCTCCCCACATTCGCATGCTCTGGGGTAATCCCAACCCCCACCCGCCTACCTATAAGTTTTGCTTGCTATCCTAGAAAATCTGTTCCTTAGTTAAGAATTCATTCACTGCGTGTATATATATATATATATATATATATATATATATATATATATATATATATATATATATATATATATATATATATATATATATATATATATATATATATATATATATATATATATATATATGTGTGTGTGTGTGTGTGTGTGTGTGTGTAAGTGTATGTAATAACTGCATGCACATTCAAACTGCTCATATATACACGTAAAGACATTGTAGATAAACACATTACAATTTTACATGAATAATCTCATGCCACCATATATATATATATATATATATATATATATATATATATATATATATATATATATATATATATATATATATATATATATATATATATATATATATATATATATATATATATATATATATATATATATATATATATATATAAGGTCCAAGCCTGGCGACCAAGACGTATATCTGTATATCTGGATGTCTACCTGTATGGCGTTCGTGACGTTCCATCCGGCCTGCCACTCCGTGATCTTGTCTCGGGGATCTCCGCCAATCTCCGCCTCGTCCAGCTGTACATCATCCTGTAGCTGGGAACAGCTGGAGGACTTGCTGCAGCCCCCAGCCGTGCCCTCAGCCGTGCCCCCAGCCGCGCCCCCGCTGGTCTTAGAGTGGAGGAAGGATCCGTTCCTCATGGGATGGGACTCGTAGATCTGGTCCTTCACAGGGAGGAAATAAAACAGCAACATTCACAAGACATGGACCAAATGGCAATAGAGGAAATATAACAGCAACATTCACAAGACATGGACCAAATGGCAATAGAGGAAATATAACAGCAACATTCACAAGACTTGGACCAAATGGCAATAGAGGAAATATAACAGCAACATTCACAAGACTTGGACCAAATGGCAATAGAGGAAATATAACAGCAACATTCACAAGACTTGGACCAAATGGCAATAGAGGAAATATAACAGCAACATTCACAAGACATGGAGCAAATGGCAATAGAGGAAATATAACAGCAACATTCACAAGACATGGGCCAAATGGCAATAGAGGAAATATAACAGCAACATTCACAAGACATGGAGCAAATGGCAATAGAGGAAATATAACAGCAACATTCACAAGACATGGACCAAATGGCAATAGAGGAAATATAACAGCAACATTCACAAGACATGGACCAAATGGCAATAGAGGAAATATAACAGCAACATTCACAAGACATGGAGCAAATGGCAATAGAGGAAATATAACAGCAACATTCACAAGACATGGACCAAATGGCAATAGAGGAAATATAACAGCAACATTCACAAGACATGGAGCAAATGGCAATAGAGGAAATATAACAGCAACATTCACAAGACATGGACCAAATGGCAATAGAGGAAATATAACAGCAACATTCACAAGACATGGACCAAATGGCAATAGAGGAAATATAACAGCAACATTCACAAGACTTGGAGCAAATGGCAATACATGGTCTTCAACAATCTAGGCAAAACAAAATAGCGATGGATTATTTATTTTACGAGAAAGTAAAACATGTATTAAATATCCTGTGTTTTTTTCTACTCATATTAATACCTTGAAAATGTTATAATGTCTAACTGTATTAAAGACATTTGCTATCTACCAATAAAACTACATGTCTACTAATTAAGATTTACCATGACACATTGTTAAGGAGTCCCCAGCGTCACGCATCATCCAAAAAAGCAAGATCCCCCTCCCCTAAAATAACGTCACATCTTAGCCTACATGACTGCCATTCCCCCCCCCCCCCCCTCCGCTCAAAATTAACTTAAAAAAAAAATAAAAAATAAACAACACAAACCCTGCGATTTCCTTTAAAAATGTAGTTCAAAATTTTTGAACACGAGTAACACACACACACAATGTATTTTTATTTTAATTGTGTTCTTATTGATACATAATTCGGCGTCTTTAGCAGTGGCGGAACTAGAAAAAAAGGGCCACCCCGCAAAAAAATGTGTTGGGCCCCGCCTTCATATATATATATATATATATATATATATATATATATATATATATATATATATATATATATATATATATATATATATATATATATATATATATATATATATATATATATATATATATATATATATAAACACAAAATAGGAACATAGCATACTTATTTTTGGCCTGATAGGGTTTTGAAAAGAAATGATTTTTTTCAATTAAAACAAATTACAACTTGTCATGTATGCGAACATTAGTCTGTTAGGAAAATCTGCCTTTAGCCATTAAACTCCAGTCGGTCAAAAGTATATCTAACACGAAAGCTTTGTGTAAGTAATGGTATCTCGTGTTATGTTT